TGTTAGGTCGTGATTTATTGCTTCTCTTTATGGGAATGGAATGGTTTAAGAGCTATCCAGGTCTTTTCTTATGTGTATATGTTCAAATAGTAACAAGCTTATCGAAGATAGTCAGGTTTAGCAGTTGGTTTAATGCAAGTCGAAGTTCTTTCTCGGTTAAAAAGAACGTCCTGTTTTTAAACTACAAAATACAATTCAACGGAAATGCATCCAAATATTTGTACCTGGGAACCAGAGCTGGGCGACGGTGGCGGCGCGACTGTAGGCTATTTTAGTCCAGATTACTCAGTCTCTCTGGAAATATTTTAGCCTCCAGCTGTTTGTTCTGGAAGCCCCGTGTTGGCTGGGAAATTAGACGGTTGCATGCCATGTGATAGACGATAATAATAGTATAGAGATATTGTGAGCGAGGCCCTAAAGGAATGACTGCTATGACTGCTTGCTTGCTTGTGTGTGTGTGAGACAAGGTCTGTCATCAGACACCGTATGGCACCTCGCCTACCGTGTAAGGCTTCCCTTAGACGTTGACTAAATTGCACAGTTCAAAATTATTTTATTGGTAAAGTAAGTTTGCACAAACAGAATGAATTTTTAATTCAATTCATTGTGACTACACAGATACAAACGTGAAATTCTTGTGTCTCTTTTACCAGTGTGAGTGTTGGCAACCATGAGTGCACTGTGTGTGGGGGTTGGCAGGCCTGACATAGCATGATTCAGAGGGTAACCAAAATCGTCGTGATTCACGTAGCACCCCCCCCCCCCCCAGCACAACTTGGGGGGGGGTCGTGTAAGGGCGAAAAGTGAGGCCGACGTGTATTTTGGAATTTATTTATCCAAATTCCCCTTGCATGATGTATTCTCTGATATGGTCTTGCTGAGTACTGATGAAAGTTGGTATGATGCTGTGACCTTGACGAGGTTGTTGAATTGTTGACATTTACAACGAGCAGCGGCAATATTACGCCCATCTTTTGTTCTTGTACAGTTACTTGCCACTCTGTACCAATAGTTACCGCGCTGTATGTAGTCAAGGTGGGGGGGGGGGGCGTTACCTGCCTCGATGTAGTGGGGAGGTTGTCGCGGTTTGGGGGGGGGGGGTGTTACGAGCCATGCTGTAGTGGGGGGCGTTACAACCTATGCTGTAGTGGGGGGGGGGCGTTACAACCTATGCTGTAGTGGGGGGGGGCGTTACAACCTATGCTGTAGTGGGGGGGGGCGTTACAAGTCTTGTTACTTGGTAGTCCTACAATACGTGTATCGCCAGTTCCGTAGAGCAAGACGAGTTAAAGTGGTGAGAGAGTCTGGAGTTCCCGCGCGGACTAAAGGCAGGAAGTGAAAAAGGTATATTTGTAAAGCGAGTGTTTGTATAATGAATTAGCAAGGAGTGAGGCCGGGCAAGGCGGGTGTAATGGTGCACCTGGGCCGCCGCCATGACTCACAAACCTCATTTACATTTTCGGGGACCCTCTCCCCTTCCCATGTTTGGTTGTTGTCTGCATTCTTTAGGGAGTAGTTGCATATTTACCTCCAGATTAAACATGCCGGGACAAGGATGCTTGCTTAAAGAGTAGTGCTAATGGACGCAAGGTGTGCGTCCTCTCACCAGTGGGGCGTATCTGTCCCTCTTACACCCTCCCCTCTCACCAGTCCTGTTACACGTGATCAAGAGCGGACACCACTTTTAAACCAATTCGTCTTGAACTGGTAAGCGGCAGCGAGAGAAACCTTGCCAGACGCCGGTCACCACCACACACCTCTACGCTGTCCCAAGGAAAGCTACCCGGGATGAATTTAATTGTTACCAGCTTGTATCAGGCTGGAGAAAGGTATGTGGGAGAGTGAGTGCTACACAGTGGTGGGGTGTTGACGCGCACAGAGAGGACGTCACTCATTGGATCAGCAAGGATCATTAACCCAAGGTCCAGGATCCACCCAAGTACTGCCGCTCGTTACACTCCCGCCTCACGCCACCTCCCTCCCTCCCTCGTTATGTCTTCACGCTTGTAATCCTCACAACTTAATCTTAAAGGCCACAACATTAGTGTTGAATGCTGCGTTAAATGTATTTTCCCCGTACTAGATTATATGATGGTAAATTAATGGTAAAGTTTTAGGGCAGATAACTTAGATAACATTCATACCAACCAAATAAACAAAAGTAGTAAAGACTGGCCATGCGAGTATTGTGATAAAAGAAGCCATTGTTGGCCACAACCAAGACTTGCAGAAGAGCTCTCGTCTTACCGCCACTCAAGTGTCATCATCTTGACAAATGCAACAATGGCACTAAACTATGTTTGTAGATGAAGTATCGCCGTGCACAGTCGTTTAGTACATGCTCTGGTGAAGCACTAATCCAAGAGTAACTATTGCAAATCTTTGCCATATCAAAAATCACTCACATTTTTATCTGTATAATACGGCGTAAATAAAAAGTTTCCTTGTGGAGTGTTTAAAATATTAAGATGGAAGGTGAAACATTACACCGAGTGTAATAACAATGTGGGCTTGGTAGTGTGAGGCGCGCCATGTTGGTGACGTCACCAACTCTGGAGATGGGTTGGTTTGCGTCACAGAGACGACCCTAAACGGAGCGGGCAATACTCTTGCTCCCCACTACCAATCTTTGTTCTTCTCTACTCTCGTAAATTACCACTGCTTTTGTCGGTAATACATGTTGAGATTACCCAGTTATGCATCATGTGCACTTGTTTAATGTGTACAGTGCCGCTAGCCAAGGTTAACTCCGGACATTGATACGCCTCGGCTACAATGGACCACTTCCCGCCTTTCATCCTTCAGTCATTCAGAGTAGCAACGCAGCAGCCTTTCATCTGTCCCTTGTTACGTCTTGCCCCAGGGGAAGAGTGCGCGAGCGAAGCACTTGAAGCTCTTCAAGATGGTTTAAGTCTCGTCTCGCAGCAGTCATTGTAAAGCTTTGGCATGATAATGAATGGGATGCAGCGTTAGCCGTTGTGGTAGCATCGTACCTTCTTACTTGAGGCAATAGCTTCTATACTTGCAATACAATTAGAGAAAATGTGAGGTGGTTGCTATTTGGTGAAACAGATCAGCAGGCCTGGGTCAATCTTATCTCGCACCACTAAAATATTGTATAATTATTTATTGAATGACTGTAAGACAGTTGTGGACAAAACTAGAAACGGGAAAATGGCGTAGAAGAACTGGCGCTGCAGCAGACGAGGCTTGAGGAGAGAGTGTGGCGGGGGAGGTATGGATGACGGGGGCCGCCGGCCTCACGTTACCCCAGGTGTACGCTACACTAGTGTCATTTACAGACCGGTTGAGAGATGTTACGTGAGGTGAACCTCTCGCCTCACCACCAACCCTCCCTCACCACCAACCATAGTCCCCTTACCGCTACCTCCTCATTTGAGATTGCCTGAAAATTACCTTTATGTAATGATGAGATGGAGAGAGCCCTATCTGGCCTCTGTGGCAGCTGTGAGGGGTCACACGGAGGAGTAGGTTTATGTTGCTGGGAGGATTTAGGAGTTATCGTAAGGAGGAGACAACTAACACGTCATGTAGGGAAAGTTGTCAGCCTAGGTTTGGATTATTGGGACTTGTTGTAGGGCGATAGTTCGGCCCCCCGTTGTAGGGCGATAGTTCGGCCCCCCCCCCCTTTCTTGTTACAGCGAAGGGAAGACATGGTAATCCCACGCTATTGTGGTTTGCAATATATATGTATGTCTCATGTCTGATGTGTTTCGCTTGAAATATACGGCAAGGAAAGGTAGAAACAAGAGAGGGATCAAACAGGTGTAGTGATAATTACAGGTGAGGGCCAGGCTGAGAACAGCTGTGGCATGACAACACATGTTGGGTCGCCTCACACCTGTAACTGCCGCCACTAACCTCGACCTCTTCTCCACCTATGCATGTATTACATCAGTCACTATACAGAATATATAAATTTAATTCACCAGAATACACACGAGGATACGGAAGATGACAATTGTTAAGAGTATAGCGTGTCCTTGGCGTATGTGTGAGTCAGGGCGGGTGTGTGCACGTGTCACCCCCCCCCCCCCCCTCGCGTCTTGCTTTACCCACCACAGCTTACCTAACACCACAGGGAAGCGCCAGGTACCAGCAGTGTTGGACCTGTTGCTTTGTAATCTGGCCTTACAGTTGTGGCTGGAGGCGTCTTCCACTTCTCTCAATGTAATTCATTTCACCCGTACAGAGTAAGAGCATTTCATTTTCTCTTACTCATTTGCGTTTCCTGCTTCCACTTGTCTTTTTGCCCTACTTTCACTAAATTAAAAAAAAAGGTTGTTCTTGTCCATCTTGTCCACCTCTGACCGTGACCCTTTGTTTTATGTACGGCAGGTACTCTCATACCCTGTTCTCGTGTGTGTGTTACTTTGGTAAACTACTCTTCCTAGGTAGTAGTGTCAAATGACGGTTTGTAAATTGCACTGAGTGAATTCTATCGATGTGACGAGTAGGTTACCATGGCTACACTTCCTACCCCCTACTCTTGTACTGCCCCCCTCCCCCCCCCTATGTACTACTGCTACTCGTCCTCGTGGTCCTCGTGCCAGAGGTCCCCTGCCCCTCACCCTCCCCTGCCAGGGGTCCAAGGTGTGCGTCACACTAGGCTACAATATCACCAAGAGTCTCCCGTGTTAGGCTCCTGGTCAACCAAGAGTGTCATGTCCTTAGGCTTCTTTTCTGTGTGTTGAACAGCCTTCAAAATATTTCGCCAAGATATTTTAAATTTGTGTAATGTTCCTGCAATATTAAGAAATGCATCTTGGAATTAGTAATTTGACTAGTTGGATTAAGGCGGGTAATGGTGCTGGTACCTTATAAGGGGGGGGTTAAAATATAATAAGTATCATACTTAGCTGTCCATAAATATTTAGTATGTCATTTAATAGAAAATATAAATATTACTTATCAGCTGTAGTTAGCATGAGTAGATGATGTAGTAGTGATGATAATGTCCGTATGTGATGCCATTGCAGGAGGCTTCCAGGCGTTCGAGCGCTTGTATCCGGAGCTGTGTGAGGACGCCTTGATGCGCACCAGGGAGGAGGTGGAGTCCTCTCTCTGCTGCGACCAGTACACCTCAACCGGAGTTCTCATGGCCACCGGCATCCCTTCGCCAGGCAACGAGGCCACCATAGAACAAGCGCAAGCCTCCGAAGTCCTGCCTTTCCTCTATATTGGCAACGCCCGCGACGCCCAGGACCTGAGGGTGCTGCAGGTGAGGCCCCCACCCACCAGCCAGGTCAACGGCTCTGTGGTCATTCATGATTATTTTTTTACTTGAGAGTAGATGGTTGACATTATATAATGTATTGAAGTATGCGTTAGTCTCGAGGACCAACAACCCAGCGGGTTTTCTTCCTATTGGGGAGTGTTGTACATGCTGCTATGGCGGTGTGTCCACTCACAAGATGAGTGGCGCTGCCCAATAAACTCGCCCCTCGGGGCAAAATTTAAAAATTTAAATTTAAATTTGACCTGTAGCTGCCCAACCGTTTAAACCCGGGTTCGATTCTCGGTTAATTAAAGAGAAATGATTGGCCACGATGCCTTACATCTGATACCTATGTTCACCTAGCAGTAAATAGGTATCTGGGAGTTAGTATATTGTTGTGGGTGGCATCTTGATGACCAGCCGTTGGTTTGGGTGACCTGATTAGTCTCAAGTTTTTTGTCCTCGAGAATAGTGAACCAGTGGGGAAGGTTATGACAATAGATGTAGGCTTAAGCTGAATGTAATCTCATAATTACGGCGACTTATATATTTAAGACATTAGATAGAAATGAACGACCTTAAAGCTAGTTCCTAATTAACATTGTCAGATACATATATTAACGCCCAAAAAGTTGCTTATCCTCTTGACAGCCTTAGATCATTAGTGTTATCAGACGTAGTGACATATTACTGTGAAATATGAGGGCCTTATGAGGAAACATGAACTCGACAATAAATTCAATTGATTTTGACGCTTCAGGCGTTGGGTATCAGCCGAGTACTGAACGTGACGTCCCACGTACCCGGGTACCATGAAGACTCTGGCATCTGTTACAAGACCCTCCCAGCCATGGACTCCGGCCATCAGAACCTGAGCCAGTACTTCCACGAGGCTATACACTTCATCGGTAAGTCCAACATTCACTCACGTTACCTCGCAGCTCCGTCTTGTGTAACGGGTAAGCTGCGAGTCATTTTACATGGTGCGTGAGTTGAGTGTGTGCGTGAGTTGAGTGGGCGAGAGTGGTAAGTGTGAGGGCTTGTTTTGTTTCACTTTGCGAGTACCTCGACCCGCCACCCGGCACCACCACATACAGTGACGGTAATCCTGCTAATAAAATAATTCCCCATTAGGGCCTCAGTGTACAGTAGGGGAGACTAAGAGGGATAGGAATGGAGGGGAGGGATGGATAGAGCTGAGAGGGGGGAGGGGATACGGATGGAGAGGGGATATCAGGGAGGGGAGAGAAATCATAGCGGTGCAGTAATGGGGGGGTGAGTCACTCTGGTAAAGTAATGAATAATACAGGGTTGACTAGAGAGTAATGTGCAGCCAGTAGGCGAGAAGTGACTCATCGCCTGGTGCTGGGCCTAGGCTCCTGCGTCGACGTCTGGTGCTGGCCTGGGCTCCTGCGTCGACGTCTGGTGCTGGCCTGGGCTCCTGCGTCGACGTCTGGTGCTGGCCTGGGCTCCTGCGTCGACGTCTGGTGCTGGCCTGGGCTCCTGCGTCGACGTCTGGTGCTGGCCTGGGCTCCTGCGTCGACGTCTGGTGCTGGCCTGGGCTCCTGCGTCGACGTCTGGTGCTGGCCTAGGCTCCTGCGTCGACGTCTGGTGCTGGCCTAGGCTCCTGCGTCGACGTCTGGTGCTGGCCTAGGCTCCTGCGTCGACGTCTGGTGCTGGCCTAGGCTCCTGCGTCGACGTCTGGTGCTGCCTTTCTCTTCTTCATTCATTACTTTTCTTGACTCGCATCTTCAATGTTAGTAGCAGCCATATTAATAACAACCGGCATAGGCAGGGGAACGCAAAGAGCGGTAAAGCCGCCTGCTTACAAACCGGGTACGGATATCAACTTGTCAGGAACCGGTTAGTTGCCTTCCCTCACTGTGAAAACCACGGGAGCTCCCTCCCCTGTCCCACGTTATACCATCACTCCTTACAACGTTAATCCTCTCGCCTTTCTTCTGGTATCGTACTCGTGTCACGGTAGTATTTCAAACTGGAGTCTCTGGAGGGCTTTGTGAATCACTTGCGTAAATGGTTTCTTCTAGAATTGAGTTGGTTAATTCAGCGGTTCTACTACCGGCGCGGTCTTAGTCAAGTTGAGAGAGAAACATGCGATATATTACGTTTAACTAATAATGGGCGCCCATATTGGTTATTAAGGGCAATAAAGGTACGAGTTCAGGTGGTGGGAGAGGTGTGGTGGAGGGCGCGTGTATCCTAACATGGGAGGTGTGGAGGTAATAAAGGCATTATTTGTGCACATTGATAACGCTTCTTATTTCCTACACAAGTGTGTGGTTGGCCCTGAGCGCCCACCCCACACTACACTACACCACTTGCTGGAGGGCACTTGCCTCAACCAGGAGCACTTGGCCCTTGGTTCACAAGGACCAGCACTTGCCTCTCCACGTTACACGGCACCTCCCCTCCCCCCCCCCTCGGGAAGTCAACAGGGAGAGGATCTAGTGCCTTCCTGCTCGATTTTATATATTAATATTGAGGATCCATCCATATTAAGTAATTCAATATGATGATTAGCGAGGAAGGAGCGTCTTCCCCATCGACACTGTCCTTCCTTTCCTCACCACATCACCACTCACGAAAACATCTTTATTAATTTACAAGTGAGTGAGTGTATTAATTATCTGATGGATGAGATCCCACGCGCGCTCCTGATAGCTGTAGCTGACGTCATGGTAAACAATCCTCAGCCGATGGATGTTCATATATATTTGTTCATCTGGTTACTGTGAGTTATGAGGTGGGTGAGGGTTGTGGCGGGAGGACTGTGAGGGTCAGCGTGCAGAGCACACAAGGGAGGGGGGGGGGGGAGGTGATGGACTGGTGCAGGAATGTATGACAGTCGTCCAGTGATCTGCTTGAGAGGCGGTGACGTCATCCAGGCCTCGGGCGCCAGCTGACGGCTCCCCTCTACTGCACATTACCCTCATTAAAACGCTAAATAGCTCCTAATTTGCCATAAGAAATGTGTTTTAATAAATGAGGTTGGGTGGTGTTGTGGGCAAGGTGAGCTGTGTAAGGGAGGAGGAGAGCGTATGGGGGGGGGGGGGTGTTGACTGTTTCCCAGCGTCAACAGTCAACAAATCTGTTGAGAGGCGAGGCGGCCGCTCCATTAGGACCACACGTCATGAGTCATCGCCTCTCCCCTTCTCCCACCCCCCCTCGTGCTCTCCTGGGGGGGGGGGCCTCCCCTCCATACATTCACCTACGAAGGGGAAAGAATTGGCCGGGGATGGAGGGGGGGGGGGGGGAGCTGTTTGTTCCTCCTTCAGTGTGTGTGTGAGAGCTTCCCGCCCGCCGCCGCCCGCCGCCTCGTACCGCTTCTCATTTACGCGCTTAAGTTTTTTGTTCTCTTTGCAACTTCGTGTTTGTTTTTAATACAATTGCTGGTGTGTGCTTGTTTTCTCCCGTCTTGACTGGGAAGTGTTGCCCCCTTGTTGAACCTTTAGACACCTGTCTTCTTCCCCCCCCCCTCGTGTGTCCCCCCCCCCCCCTTCGTGTGTCCCTCAGTGTCCCCCCCCCCCTCCGTGTGTCCCTCAGTGTTCACACCGACCCTTCTTCCCTTATCGCCTATGACTCACAGTCGACAACAATGGCTGGGGATATTGATATTGACACGAGGTATTGACAGGCCCAGCCCAGCCCTTAGCCCGTACCACAGGCCCAGCCCAGCCCAGCCCTTAGCCTGTACCTCAGGCCCGGCCCAGCTCTCGGCCCGTACCTCAGGCCCGGCCCAGCCCTCGGCCCGTACCACAGGCCCAGCCCTCGGCCCGTACCTCAGGCCCAGCCCAGTCCTCGGCCCGTACCTCAGGCCCAGCCCAGTCCTCGGCCCGCACCACAGGCCCGGCCCTCGGCCCGTACCTCAGGCCCAGCCCAGTCCTCGGCCCGTACCTCAGGCCCAGTCCTCGGCCCGTACCTCAGGCCCAGCCCAGTCCTCGGCCCGTACCTCAGGCCCAGCCCAGTCCTCGGCCCGTACCTCAGGCCCGGCCCAGCCCTCGGCCCACAGCCCTCAGCTCCTGACCTGGATGTTCTTATGGTGCGTGTTAGGGCGAGTCGTCCCGGAACAAGAGACTAATAGTGAAGACGATCGTGGGAGGCTCTGGTTAACTGACTGGAAATCTTGATAATTGCACGTGTGTGGTGTCTTGTTTTTTTAGTCATTATCTTGGTTGTACCTGGAGCAGCCTTGGTGTGGTCAGCGGCCTCCTCCACCCAAGAGGGCGACGCCCCACCCTCTCCTCCAGGATAAGCTAACAAGACGCCAACTATAAAGTAATGCTACTGAATGACTCCCGAGAAAGAGGTGAACATGCAACTCAATATTAACAAGTGCCATCCCAGCTGGCCTTAATGGTATTAACATAAAGAACCAACAATGTGTGGTCGAGCGCTCATGAAAACACACATGATATATTTACGTGTTTATTTGAACTAATGAAACAGTCCTCACAAGTCCAGAGCTTCTTGCTTTTTATTGTTTGTTCCCATGGAACAATGGAGCCTACATTAGTGGAATTAGACCAGATGGTGGTATAGTGTCTGCAGGTGGTGGTGGTGGTGGTGGAGGACTGCGGGCGGTGGCGGTGAAGGAGGGGCTGCAGATAGGTTGTGTCGTGCACATGCACCCTAGAAACCATCTCCAGTATTACAGTGATGTTGACTTAACCAAAAGCCAAAAGAACCATAAAGCCCGTGGAGCAGAGATGTACTGGTGGTACACGTCACCTTGAGACAGCCTGACGCAGGTGCTGCTGTCTGACGCTGCCGCCGCCGCCCTCCCGCCGGCCAGCTAGTACCCCCTTCAGAGCCCACATATGGCTCTCCCAGGACCTTTACTCTACACCAACTCTACTGGGGTAAAAACAAACCTGTACGGGTGTGGGTGTGTGTGTGTGTGTGTGTGTGTGTGTGTGTGTGTGTGTGTGTGTGTGTGTGTGTGTGTGTGTGTGTGTGTGTGTGTGTGTGTGTGTGTGTGTATATATGTATGTATGTATGTATGTATATGTATATATATATATATATATATATATATATATATATATATATATATATATATATATATATATATATATATATATAGCAAGCAAATTAACTATATATATATTTAGCAAGCCACCAAATAGAGAGATCGTGGAGTGTTGGAGGATGAGAAGCTGTGTTCTTTAAGAGGAACAGAGGGGGGAGCGAGAGGTCCATTCAGCCTCTTCATCATTGGAATCAATAAATGACAAAACCTCGCACCCTTGCATAAGCGGTTGGGTGGGGGGTTGGCGAGAGGACCCATTGTCATCATGAAATAGACTGGGGTTTTATGGTTTACGAAATGCCTACTTGCCATTGTTGTCAGTAAGACGAGGTCTGGGTTGCCGGAAAAGTCTCCCTTCCCTCCCCCTCCCCCCATCCAGGAGCACGGATGGCTCCATTACACGAGTGGGAGTTGTCATCAGTTGTCATTAACTACCAGTTGTAGCACCAAGAGCCATATAAATGAAATCCTTAGAAAGTTAGTTTGGCGTTAAGTGTGGAGGCGCTGGGTCATCGCCCCCGGGGGCGAAGCAAGGCCAGGAGAAAGCAAGAAAAAGTTAAAAAAAAAAAAAAGAAAGCTAGTTTGTGTTAGGATATGGGAGGGAAGTGAGTCAAGACATTACATAACGCCCACCACTCATTAATGCTTCACTTTCTTTATTAGACGACTCTCTCTCTCCTAAATTGATCTAGGAAATGTGTGTAATATCACATTAAGTTTTTGCAACTACGTTACCAGTAAAGGTGATGTAAATGTAAAGAATGAAGCCAGGCGTTGAGGGAGGAGGTAGGGGAGGAGGCGTGTGTAAGCCCAGGGAGGACGAGTAGGAGGTAGGGGACGTGTGTGGGCCCGAGGAGG